AAAGAACGGAACATAAGTGTTAGTTTCGATAATACTAATCCTACACACAAGACAAAATGATCACTCTTTCCGTGGAAGATTCCTTTAAGGTATCGTTTTCTGTGGTAATGAGGGCGGAGCTTTTTCCGTGGAAGATTCCTTTAAAATGCCACAGATTTGAATGAAAGCTGAAGACGAGCGCATCTCAAAAACTACGTAGGATTTGGTATAAAATCGAACAAAAAGGGCTAAAAGTAATCGAATTATCGCGCAAAACGGTAGCGCAACACTGGAATCGGTCTCATTCAGTGGTAGAAATGTTGTGAAGGGTCAAATCTGGGATATCAATCTGTGCTGTCTGAGCGAGTGAAGGGAAAAGGTGATTGAGGGATAATCAGTGATGAAAATATGGGGGTGATTCAAGTGTATTCAAAAAGTGATCGTACTTGTATCATCGTCAGGTGAGCTCATGAACGAAGCCGTCGGTGATTCTGTTCGTTGAGTCTAAAATCAGAATTTTTATATTATTCTTATTTTGGTGGAACGCAGAGGGGTATGGGTCCGCAAATCGAACTTAAAGTCACTCCATAAATCTTCTTTGAGAAAAGTAAACAAGCGACTATAGGATTTGGCCGAGGGAGGGGGTTACATTTACCAACCATGGTTCACGGAACAATTCCCGTACCATAGATGGACAGACTCAAGAGTTCTGATGCCAAAAATCCGAAATATAGCCAGTTTTGGTTGTCCTTGTCGGGTTTGTGCCGCCCCAGAATACTTGTCGGAGCTTGTCACCCTAAGGCCGATGTCAGACTTTGCGAATCGCGCGATTCGCAAAGTCTGACATCGGCCTAATACTCCGCTTATTCGACGTCCGACAAGCACGTCTACGCCATCAGATAGATCACTGTGGCTAATTCGATGACTCCAAAAGGCTACACAATTACGGTACCTACACAACCCTGAAGTGAAGTGACTTCCAATCACTTCAAATAACAAGTCACTCAACAAAACGGCTAGATGCTGAGTTTCTCCAGCCTACCCCCCGTACAACCAATCTTTTCGTTGAGCACTATTTTCACGTTTTCCCAAACTGTAGTACTTACCGGCGGCTTGCTCGATTCGATGACATTCATGCTGTCGGTAGATGTTCCGGCTCGCTTTGTGCTAGCTGCAGAGCTGATGCTGATCTTCCTGGACATATCCACTGACGGTGCAGGACTGGATCGTCGAGTTTCCGTCAATGGAGTTGGGCTTGTTCGTGGTGGAATCGGTGGCGGTGTTGTCAGCGAGGTTCCTAGAAAAAAGGCTTAAAGTGTTTGTTGAGTACCTACCAAAATCAGGCTTTTGTCACAGCTTTGAAAGCGAATGGCTTGAAAGCTGTGAAAAAGGTTCCTAGAAGTTCTGAGGGACGCGCCATGTATGCATTCAGCAAGACGAATACATGGCTCATCCTGAAATAGTCAATTCGGACCATTTCAGGCAGTTTTCATCTCGAGCCCTGTGCAGAATTTAGGCTATCTCACGGATTTCATGAAAAATTCAAGGGCTGGCGGGCGTAATAGCGAAAATAGAAGTGAACAAAAGGTAAAGGCAAAACCTACTGGACATAGAGCTTGTCACTTTGGCCACATCGGGAGGCATTTCCGTTTGGCTGATTCGTCGCGGAGGTGGCACTTCCATTGCTGGTGATGAGAACGGCGCCAACGAGGACACGGATAACGTCATCGCTTGTTGCGGATTGGAATGATCTGATTGTACCACTAAATAAAAGACTTTCAGTAAAACCCTATTGAATTGATCGATGAATCTATCTAAAAAGCTTTACATTTGCCAGATTATCTCGATATCCCCCCTATCAAAATTCGGCAATAAATTTGTAAATCTATGAAAAAGCTTGAAAAAATGCATAAAAACCTGTAGCAATAAAAACTGACTCCGATTACCTCCGCTGTCAATACTTCTGGCATCGTCATGGTGAGTGGGCGGAGCGGTCTGGTTGTGGGTGGAGTCGTAGGAGGACGGGGTGGCCAACGAGCGGCGCGGTGATGTGGACCGAGTCGACGCTCGTGAGTCCGGCGATGATTCCTCTTCTAGAATACGAAGACTGAGCCATACAAACCAAATTAAGTTCTGGACCAAGTAAATGCTATCGTTTCGAAGTGAAGGCGCAACTCAGGGATTAGTTGAACGACTCCCTTTGGTTCGTGGAATAAGCTAGAGAGGATAATCACAGATGTAGCGGTCCCAAGCTTGGATATCGCCTGACGAGGGCGCTAGCTATTTGCAAAAGACGCTTCAACCGCTTTCATCCTTCCTAGATCGCAGCATGCTACTATCTGGCAGCCTCTCATCCGTCGTGCTCTCTCGCCTGTCCTCTTTCCATCGTGCTCAGTCGACGTGGGTATGACAGAATCAATTGTCCTTCTGATCGACCCAGCCAGGAGGGTGGTTTAGGGCCCTAAGGAAGGGAAGGAGGTGGAAAGGCGTAAATTTCTTTAGGAATTGGCCAAATGTCACGGGTGACCCTAGTAGTTGGTGCTAGCCAGGAGCGGAAATGGGGTTGCAATGATCATTTCAAAACCAAGAGCTCACACTTACCGCTATCGCTGATGTGCGTGGCGTGTAGCGCGAATCGAGCCAGATTTTCTTCACGTCTAGCAGCCATCGTCGCTTTGTGATTCGCTTTGTGATTGCGTCTTGCGACTACACCAGATTGGGCGAATTCGCCTTCGGATGAGCTCCTGCAGTAGGTTAGGTTCCATCATCACAAAGTTGGAATCGTAGAGAATTTCTTTACCTGTCGTCATCATCGACAGACATCGACGACATCACCTTCTCCTTCACCCATGACGGTTGAATTCGTGGACGCGGCGATTTCGTTCTGAAAATTCAAGCATATTATCAGGCAATGACCAAGATGGGGAAGGCACGCATTGACAATCACTTCTCAAAACCACAAAGACCACCGCAAAGGGCAAAAAGGAGTGTGCAGCTGAACGGGTTCCAAACTAGATCCAACTACTGCTAAGTATTATACAACGAATTATTGGTGATTTGATTTTAAAGGCAGGGATCAGGATTAAAATGATGTGGGAATGCCACGCAAGTTTAAAAGTAGGGATGCGAAAAGGATTGAAAGTGGGGAAAAAGGGAGAATTGTCGGAAATAGGGATTACGAGCTTCAATGCTCTACCCAACATGAAGGTGTAATCAGGAATCCTCTGAACTTTCCACGGAACTTCAAAAGGAGACCTAGGTACACCGATAGAGTCTTGAACGCTTATAACAGATATGGACACTAAAACTGCTTAGTGAACTTGCCAATGCACTTACTTTTGCACATTGTGCTCTACATACAGCAAAAGGGGCGGCAATGGAAAGTAGAAGTATTGTGAGAGGTAGTTAAGAGACAGGCAGGGAAATGAGAGATAATGCGAATTGCGGAGAGGGTAAAGAAGTCCGAGTACAGAGAGCATAGCGGATCAATATTGCCGACGCCAAACGATATTCCGAACGGTGGCAGGAGGTGATGGACTTGATGGGATCAAACTCCTTAGCGCATATCGTCTTAGTGGAGCATTTCGATGTGCAAAGGTGGCGCGACCTCTGCAGTTACGGACCACACACCTCTATTCACAAAAGCGACTACTTCAGTGAGGGTGAGCCCGAACGCTGCCTTTAAAAAATACAAGAATTCAAGGAATGGGTTATCCTCTGATGAACACCACGACCACGTGTACGAAAATGCATAACAACGGGTTAGGGCTGAGAACATAGAAAGGTGCATGGAACCATTCCAGGACCAGTCGTTCGAAAGGGATAGTGAGCGCGGAAGGCTCGATCAAACATAAGGTATGACCTTTAAACGCTCTCTCGCGGGTCCCTCTCTTCTCCAAGGCTTAGACCTTAGGGCATTCACCCGTTCTCTAATCGTCTGTGCTCTAGCCATCGAGGCAGGACCGTTGAGGAAAAATAAGTAGTCCGTAAACC